TGCGCTTTACACAATTGATGTATGTATAGATTGTGATAAGAGTTGTATGAGCCCCAATAAAATGATTTAAAAATAAATAAAATTGGAAAGATTTAGAGTTTTAACCTGAGTGGAAGAACACATGGTTAATGTTTTTTAGGAGTGGTACAGTTTTTATGCCATTGTGATATTAAAGCAAAATAGATTTTGACAGAAGTGCACTGGTCAAACGTTTGAGTTGCATTTAAAAACAAATGATGAGATTTGGTCATTTTTCTTCAATGGGTGATGAAGATCAAAGTGAAATGCTGTGCAGGGAAGCTCTTTGTAGACTGTAAGGAGTGTTGCTATCACCGTTAGCAAAACAGTTTTTGTTTATAAAGCCAAATATTTTCGTATGAGTGGGCTTGCTTTTTAAAAATAAGTGTTCTGCTGTGTCTTTAATTAGCTTTAATGTTGTGAAGTTCCGCATCTTTAAACTTTTGTAAACCAAGAGCAGTTCATTCCACCTCCGCTTCAATCACTGGTTCTAAATAAAATAATACGTGAAAAATAGCACAAAACAAAACCGACTCACTACCATCAAGTCCTTCTGGTTCATGATGCCCCTGTGGGACAGGGTAGAGCTGCCCCTCCCTCGGGTTTCTGAGACTGCTACTCTTTACGGAAGTAAAAGTCTCATCTTTCTTCCTTGGAGCAGCTCGTGTGTTAGAACCGCTGATCTCGAAGTTAGCTGTCCAACATGTAGCCACTGTGCCCCAGGACACCAGATTACTCCAGGACACAGTAATGTAATATGTGTCCAGTGTTGTGGTTGTTAGGTGCCATCAACTTGGTTCCGACTCATAGAGACCCTGTGCACAGAAGAAAGAGACACTGCCCAGGCCTGTGCCATCCTCACAAGTGTTTCAGTAACATTTGGATTTTGCCTTTATGAGCCTGGATCATCAAACGTTCCTTTCATTTTTGGAAGCATTTTTATGGGGAGGGTAGCATTCTTCTCGATAAACATGCAAATGTGGTACTCTGAACAGGTAGAGGTACGAAAAGAGCAAAACTGCTGGAGGCAGATGGCAGGAAGAGTAGAAGCAAAGGCATCAGTGACTGCTCACTGTTACTGTATTAGCTCTCTCGTGTCCATTGTCTAGATATCGATCCTTTTTTGAACTTAAATCTGAGATCAAAGAGGTCAGCAGTGTAGCTGGAATTTGAAGCTTGGTTATGTGATTCTGTCAGATGATGTTTTTCAGCACTTACTAAGATGAATAAATGCACACAAAAGGGGACAATAATACAAGCACTTTAGTGGCTACATCCCCCTCTTCTGGCGTCTTTAATTATTGCCACTGGGAATAGGCATGTTTTGTTTTCCTAACCAGTACCCAGCCTAGATGGACATTTCATTGATAGGGACTTGTTTCCTTGCCATAGATTAGCATCTCTATTCCTCTTCTACACGGCTGCTTAAAACATGGAGGAGTATGCCTATTTCTGTACTTTAATAGTTGTCATGTGTGCTTGAATTGGTCAAGTCCTGTCATTCATTAGACCCCTTTTCAGTTGATACCAGTAACTAACCAGTTGTTAAAAGGAGTTAGGTAAATTAACTTAACTGAAGCATCCTAGTGTGTCTAAGAAAATAATTTTATGCGTAGTAAGTCTACTTGAAGTCCTGACAATTTAATTCTTCATATAAAAATTTTTCCAGGGGTACCCTTAAGAATATTCTATAATATAATTTAGAAAAATAATGTTCACTGGATGTAATTGTCTGTAATTACATGTGGGTTAGGACACTAACCATATATATATGGTTAGATATATACAGCATGAAGGAATGTAGCAGCTAATTAGTCCACACAGCAGTGCAGAGGGCTCAGTTCAACTCACTTCCCTGGAACAGTTAATATGCTGGAAGTCCGTCAACCCACTAGGGCTGCTGGGTTCAAGGTCAAGGAAGCAGACAGCCGAGTCTTTCCTCGGGCAATGCAGGCAGTCCGGCCAAGCAGCAGGGTGAGTCACCAACAGTCAGCAGCTCAGGAGCTTAGCAAAGCAAGCCTGGATGGGATATCAAACTCAAGCAATGCAAGATGACAGGATCTGACAGCCTCAAGCTCCAGCAGTATACACACCAGCAGCATGGCAAAGCAGGTCTTGAGGAACTTTACGCTCTAACGACATGTTCCACGGGTTGGCTGTCCCACAGGTATTGTAGCTCACAAGTTGAGGCAGAGAACTAGCTAAAGCACCCACATGCTGGTCTGATCACCACAGAGTAAGAGAGAGAAGGGTGGGGCTTGCTGAGCCATTTATCTTTTTGCCCTCCAATCAAACTGTGACCTAATTAATCCCACATGTTCCTATTGGCCAGGTTGGTACAATAAACTTACCTATTACAGCATGATACTGTAGAAAATTATCCTGGCCGTTCCTTTATCTTCAGAGAAACAAATGAGCTATTCAGTCAGTTCCAGCTCAAAGTGGCTCTCCAGCACAGGTTCCCTGTGGTTTTCCGAGACTAACTCCGTGGGGGAAGAAAGCCTCACCCTTTCCCCAAGCTAGACTGCTCATAGGAAATAAGATTCCTGGGGTTGCAGATGCCCCAGTATCTGCCTTTAGTCTCATCTCAGAATCTTCTGAGGCAGAAATGCGTCTATTTGCATCTCTGTCCTTGGAACCATGTAGTAGGTTTGCATTTAAGACATCAGGTGACTGTGATGTTCCTCAGACATATACAAGTGCAACCATGGTAAATAACTTGTTTTGTGTCATATTTCCCCCAGGAGATTAATGAGACCAGAAGGAAGCATGAAACGCGCTTGGTAGAGGTGGATTCTGGGCGTCAGATTGAGTACGAGTATAAGCTGGCTCAAGCCCTTCATGAGATGAGAGAGCAACATGATGCCCAAGTGCGGATGTACAAAGAAGAGCTCGAGCAGACGTACCACGCCAAAGTAGGTCCTCGCTGCAGTGTTTGACCCCCTCTCCCCAGTCACCACAGAAAGCAGGGTCGAGTTGTTAGTGATTGGGTGTTTCATTAAACTTTTTAAAATGAATTCACCAGTTTTCATGAACATAGAAAGGGAGTAAGAACAAAACCAAGAATCCAGTTTTCTGTAAACAAAATTGTTCTATGAAAGTAGGTTTGTTCCAGTTTTATCAGAGATAAGGGTTTTTATCTTTTGGTCCCATTTATTTTTATCTTGTCATTGTAGATAAACCCAAGCCATCTGAGAATCCCCCCCCCCCAAAATAAAAACAATACTGATCATACTGTCCTGAATAACTTTTTTTTTTAAAGAATTATTTTATTTTTTGGTGAAAGTTTAAATAGCAAATTAGGTTCTTATTTCATGATTTTTGCACATAATTCTTTGGTGCCATTGGTTCCATTTCACAATGTGTCGATTCTCATGACGTCTCCTCTGGCTATTTCTGTTTTATTTCCATTAACCTAGCTTTCCTGCCAGTCCCGCCTCCCACATAGAGGGTGTAGGAGAAATGTACTCCCTACTTGCCCAGTCAGCTTGGCCTCTTTCTAGAAATTTGAATTTTGTTCTATGTTTTTCTCTTACTGTTCTATCCGGCACCACATATTGTGTCCTTGGTTGGTACAAAGCATTCTTTCTCTACGGAATACTTCTCCTAAAAGAAGCTAGACATGCTAGCTTTTGTGAAACAATTATGAAATAGTCAGTGTTTTCTGTTTATTATTTTATTTTTGGTTTTTCTGTTTATTATTTTATTTTCGTTGTTGGGTTTATTAGGTTAGGAATATGTGACGTTTGTTTCTCTGACAAACATCACAAATTGCTATTGCCCCTTTTAGCAGTATTATCTGAGATAAGAAATGATTACTTAATGGGGAAATATTAAAGTAATCAACATTGAGTAAAGAAAGACGCGGGTATCTTTGCATTGTTAATGCTAATATATTGGGAATTGAATCTAAAATAGACTTGAGGTAATTCATACCATGTCGGCACACTTCATGACGTCTTTCCTGTGTTTCATCAGCCAGTGACCAACAAGGCTGCTTGAATGCTTGGAGGTGATCCATGCTTCCTCATTGGTTAGTTTCAGTTTAGTGGCCAGAACTTACAAGGTGGTTCTTTTTTTTTCTTCCCCCTTTTAGCTTGAGAATGCCAGACTCTCTTCAGAGATGAATACTTCTTCTGTCAACAGTGCTAGGGAAGAGCTGATGGAAAGTCGGATGAGAATTGAGAGCCTTTCATCTCAGCTTTCCAACCTACAGAAGGAGGTAAGTAGGCAACTTCTCCTGAGAATGATCGGTGCTGAACTTGGAGGCCAGATCTGCTGAGAGAGTCTCTCTTTCTCTCCAGGGCCACTCTTTCTGCTGTTGGCCAGGCATGATATGATCCTCTCCTTGCTTTCCACGTCCTTTCACCCATTTCCCTCGCGTGCATTACAAAAGCATCCACTGGACAGATGTTCCTAGTGAATGGATAATGAGGGAAGGGACGTGCCGTGGGGGGAGCACCTGCTAGTCTGTTTGTGAAATTACCCCAGGGACCAGTGTCACCTCCACAGATTGCTGTTCCCAGCACCTTCTTTTTCTCACACTCGAGAGAGGGAAAACAAACCAACAAAGCACTGTCAGCTAGTTAATTTTAACTCGTAGTGACCCAATTGGACAGAGTAGAATTCCCCCTACGGATTTTCAAGGCAGTAAATCTTTATGAGAGCAGAAAGCCTCATTCTTTTTCCTGTGGAGCAGCTGGTGGATTTGAGCTGTTTACAGCCCAACTCATAGCCTGAATTAATTAAGAATTTAGAGATTAGTCTATTTATTAATGCAGTTAAACGGCAAGCTCACATGATGCTGGTTTCATTGACTTAAGTGCTTCTTAGTGCATGATGGTGTCCCCTAGTGTGCCCTAAGCAGGCACGGACTCTGCTCAAAACCAGCTTTAAATCTAAGAGATGCTTTTATGGACACAAAGTCCACACGAAAACTTAAACACAAAAACACCTCGTTGCCATCAAGTCGGCTCTGCATCAGAGCAGACCTGCCCCATGGCTAGTTTGTTGTGACAGGGTTCTGAAATCACGTGTGGAGCAGTTGAGCTGACAGAGCCTTTGAGCTCTTTTGGACCCCAAAACCTCAGAGACTTAATGATTTGCCCAGAGATTTCATACTGGTTAGTGGGTTTCTCCAGATTCGCAGTCTTTTCTTAATACCTCATTGTGTTCAACGATTTCCTTTAGGAATTTAACAAAAAACTTTTTTTCCTTTAACTGGAACCTTATAAAAAATAGGGCTCCCTGGCCTTATTACAAGTGGCCTTGGGGGTGTAGGTATAAGGTTGGTGGGTCAGCCCATCCTGGGGGAGGAAGATGAGGCTGTGTGCCCCCATAAAGGTGAACAGTAAGGAGCACTTCACCTGTCCTGTTGAGTGGCTATGAGTTGGAATCAGCTCAGGGGCAATGGGTTTGGTTTGGTGTGGTTCTTTTTAGAATTGACATTTATACCTTTCCCATTTATTAATAAGAGTCCTACTTGACTTGAAGGCAGTGAGGGTTATCACCTTGCTCTTAAATTTGCTTTTCTCTCCTTTTTGTTTGGACAGCTGCCGAAGACACTCAGTTATGGTTGGGATGGTTATTTTCCTCTTGAGGTTGATCCTGCAGTTGCAGCTTCCAGTGTGCTTTCCCTGTGAGGCTGTTAGTTAGTCTTTCTTACCTCAGTGACCGATGAGGTGGTAGGAAGTGTAGGCACGTAGGGAGTAGCAGAGGGAAGCACCCTTTCAGCCAGAATCGTTCTTAATACCTCTGTTTGACATATTGGGTCTCTGAGGGAGAATCCTTGCATGTCTTTATTATTATTGGTGACAGATTTTATGAAATGTAATTACTTTTGAGTATCTTAATTAAGTGATCAATTTTAGCCTTAAAATATCAAGACGCAGCAGGTGCAGGGGGAAGGTACATTGAAAGACACTTTCCCATCATCTAGTGGTGTTGCTTAGTCACATCAGTTTCAGCATGCTGCTCTTGGGCAATAAGCACTTCCTTTTGGTTATATGGCTCGCACGAGGGAAGTCCTTCTTTAATCTTACTGTAAATTGGTGTAGCTTTTAAAATAGTGACTTTAGAACATATTTTTGAACAGTATGTTAGATGGTAGCAGTGTTTATGCTTTGAAATTAAGAATTTCATATATTATTTTATAGCATGTCAAAATTTTTTTAGGCCAGATTAATTGGTAGCACAGAAGCTGACTTGGCAGAAGAATATGCAGTGGTACTTCAGAAACACTTCATCATCTTTTGTCTGCTCCCCCCACCACCACCACCACCACTACCACTACCACCACCACCACCCACACACATTCCATACTCTGGAAACTGTACCGTACCATCAGTGCAAAATTAGTAAAATTCCTTCATGAACACTTGAGAGATGAAACCTTGAATTACCTAGTTAGATTTCAATGTCCAAATTAGGACACTGGTTTACTTGCGGCTTGGGTATTCATGACTTAGTCAGGAAAAAGAACTGGAGCTGACTCAGAATCTTTTTGCTTTTTTCCCCTGACTCCGAATCGTGTTCTCTGTATTTCACTACAGAGCAGCTAACTTTGGAACTGATTTCTTTGAAAAATACAGACATATTTCAGAATAACTTAAATATTTATAAATCTAGAGTTTACTTTTTCCCTGTTAGCACGATACTGCACCAGAGACAGAGAGGCAAACATTGTTGGGTTTATAAATCTGGATTTAGGTTTTCTCTGAGTCTCTGGGCACCTGTGTATCTCATGGTCTCTCCTTTAGAGTCCCCACCTCGTTGCCCTTTCTCCCTTTTACCACCCTCTGAAATACGGTGAAGAGATGGACAAGGAGGTGTTTGAACTGACAGTGTTTGTTTAGGAGAAAAGAAAGTCTTAAGCATGAAGGGAATGGAACTGATTTCTCAGTGTTTAGCATGGTCTTCTTCCCCCAAATACATTAAGGCCAGACACTATTTTTAGGATCAATTTTAGGACAAATGCCTGCTTCTCCTATAGAATGCCAGGTTCTACTATGGATTTTAATTAATTTTTTTCTTTAAATAACCTTTGTGTTTTAAAATAATTTTACAGGCACGAAAAAGTTGCAGAGATACCATAGAAATGAATTGCCCCATGGGACTAGATAGCTTCATCTTTCTCTATGGGAGCTGCTGGTGATTTCGAGCTCTTTGAATTTCACCAGTTTTTAAACTTAACCTTTTTGGTTAATAATTAACCAAAGTAAATAAGACTTGCCAATATATATATATATATATATCCATTTAAGTTGGCCTTTTTTCATGATTCCCCCAAAATGTTCGTTATATATATATAGCCATTTAAGTTGGCCTTTTTTCATGATACCCCAAAATGTTCGTTATCCCAACATATGATATTCTACATAGGGTCTCTGAGACTAAATCTTTCAGGAACAGACAGCCTCATCTTCTGCTTTGCGGCTGGTGGGTTTGAAATGCTGACTTTCATGATTAGACTCGAGTTATATTTTTTATTGAGATGTTTTGAGCACATCCTTATTATCTGGTATTATAAGGTACTCTAACTTCATCTTACACTTACTTTCCCTGCCCCAGCCCTAGAATCAGCCATTTTCTCCATTGACTCTATTAAAGAATGGTATTCAGAATTAAGCTCTGGGCACTGAGTATGCTTGTAGTCACTGGGATGCTAGTGTGTCTAGGTCTTCTTAGAATCAAGTTATACATGTATGTGTACTAACACATTGATGCACCTATACTTATATACTTATAATTGAGTCTATATCCATGTTGATATTGAACTGAACAGGAATTCATATGGGTGTCTCTGACTCGAATCTAACACCACAGCTTCATTCTGCCTTTCCTTTTTTTGCATGTCTGTAGTGTTTTCTCTGTGACCCCAAAGCCTAGTTTTCAACATCCATTTATTTATTTCAGTGTAAAGCAGCGATTCTTTACCTTGCATCCCCATGAGAAATAAACTTAACAAGAAGAATGCAGTATTTGTATAGTTCTTTTGTATCTGTAGCTTCACAGATTAAATGTTTGGCCACTAGCTGCCATTTATCTCACTGGTTCTCAACCTTTGTAATGTCGCGACCCTTTAATGCAGTTCCTCATGTTGTGGTTACCCCCCCAATCATAAAATTATTTTAGTTGCTACTTCCTAACTCTAATTTTGTTACTATTATGAATCGGGCCACACCTGTGAAAGGGTCGTTGGACCCCCAAAGGGGTCGTGACCCACAGTTTGAGAACCACTGCTTTATCTCCTTTGCAGCTAGCTGGGATTCTAAGGGCCTTGGGTATCCATCAGTCTTGGTGAGTTGATTACACTTGGTTGAGATGAATCGATAGGCAAAACTCAGATGAATAATGACCCAGTGAGCCACAAAGGTTTCTAAGGTGAGTTTTCTTATATAGTAGATAGGCCTCATTCTTTTTATACTAAATATACGATTTCTGTGTTTAAGACACTGTTTTAAAAACCATAGCATGTTGTTCACCCGTTTGTGTGCTGATCAGCTGGCTCAGGCATGGAGAAAGCACAGCTGTCACAAAAGGACACATTGTCGTACCTTTCTCGCAATAACCACAATCCCTTTGCTTCTGCTTCTGAATATTCCCCAGTAATTTCCAAACACATTCTTCCACCCGCGTTTAGTGGTCTCTCATCAATGAGGTTCTACAATTTTTCAGTTGCTTGGTCAATTTGTGCTTTTGAAGTAAAAATCTTCGTGGGGGGACAGTTGACTTTCTCCAAAACCATCACTTAAAAATTTGTTTTGGTTGGCCATTTACTACCCCCACCCCAAATATACACTTGTACTTAAAAGCATTTACATTCGGAGGATATTTGTAATGTATAAGTGAGTCATTTCCTTAAAACCAATCTCGAATTCTAATGAATTAGAGATTCCATGGGCTTCCATTTGTTTCCACTCCAGTCAGGGATTTAAAATAGCTGCCTTGTATTAGTGTTGGAAAGGTTCTACAAAGTACCAATGTGTTTCCTTGAATCTGAAGTCTAGAGCATGTTTGGAAAGGATTCAAGAATTGGAGGACTTGCTTGCTAAAGAAAGGGACGCCTCTCGCCGCATGCTGTCTGACAAAGAGAGAGAGATGGCGGAAATACGGGATCAGATGCAGCAACAGCTGAACGACTACGAGCAGCTTCTTGACGTGAAGCTGGCTCTGGACATGGAAATCAGTGCCTACAGAAAACTCCTGGAAGGAGAGGAAGAGCGGTAAGGAACTTACCTGTCACCGTGTAGTCCACGGCCCCTTAGTCTTCCGCTTAAGGAAATGCTTGGGCAGTTTTCAGTATTTTCTCAATTACTTTGAAACATCTTATGTATAGGTAGTAACAAAATTATATTTTAGTCCCAACAACAGAAAATGTTGCTTAATCTTCATTTGAGTATTTTTATAATTTTAAATGCTGGACTCTGACAGAATGGTGTCTCTGAGAATGTAAATGTTCTGGTAAAGTAGTACATTGGGTTAAAAGAAACTTGATATTTATATTTCTTTTTCAAATCTGAATTCTTTTAATTTGGTTGTCAGGAAAAGGTCCAAAGGCAAAGTGGATTGATAGAGGATAAAAAGGCAGTACATTTCAGTATTACCTATACCATGGGCAGTTTCGTACAGGGGCGATTCTAAAGTATGAAAGGAGGAAAAAATCACAGATCAGCAGCTGTAATAGGGTGGTAGTTGGTATTGCTTCTTACCATATGTTTTGTTATGTTTATGTTTGGGTTGTTACTTTTATTCTTGGGAAAATGTTACTATTATTTAAATGGATTTGGCTAGCAGATTGTCATCTTGAAAAAGGTGCAACAATACAGCTTTTTTTTTTTTTAATTAGGGGCTCATACAACTCTTATCACAATCCATGCATACATCAATTGTGTAAAGCACATTTGTACATTCATTGCCCTCATCATTCTCAAAACATTTGCTTTCCACTTAAGCCCTTGGCATCAGCTCATTTTTTCCCCTCCCTCCCTGCTCTCCCCTCTCTCATGAACCCTTGATAATTTACAAGTTATTATTTTGTCATATCTTGCCCTGTCCAGCATCTCCTATCACCCACTTCTCTGTTGCCCATCCCCCAGGGAGGAGGCCAGCATATTCTTTCTTTTTAACGAAAGGAAGAGCAGGGATGTTTCCTACGCGGCTGTGTCATTTCCCGTCTAGGTTGAAGCTCTCTCCAAGCCCTTCTTCTCGCGTGACCGTGTCGCGAGCCTCCTCAAGTCGCAGCGTCCGCACAACTCGAGGAAAGCGGAAGAGGGTTGACGTGGAGGAATCCGAGGCGAGCAGTAGTGTCAGCATCTCGCACTCCGCCTCAGCCACTGGGAACATTTGCATTGAAGAGATTGATGTGGACGGGAAATTTATCCGCCTGAAAAACACTTCTGAACAGGTACCAGCCGTCCATCTTTTCCTCCCAGCAAGCCTTTGTAGATTGATAGGTTAGCTTGCATTCATAACAACCAAATAGTCCTTTCTTGGGATTCAGCAGTTGCCATAGAGTAAAAGTCTCCCCCCTTCTTACTTAATTCATGATCCAGAAAGCAAGCACAGGGCTCTCTGGCGTTTTCTTGACCAGCCTGCTTTGTGGTTAGCAGTCCAGCGCTCCCCTGGCGGTGCTCCTTCAGCGTCGGGAAAGCTTGTAGAAACCGAAGTGCAGGCCCAGGAGGGAGTGTCTTTGGCGGCTTCACTTTTCAGTCATTAGCCCCGCTTCACAGACGTAGGACTCCCCCACCACACACACAGTCATTTTGTCACGGGCCTTTCCAGGGATGATTGGTTATTAACAGAACTATCTTTGTGAAAAGTTGCCTGGATGAAATGGTGGTGGTTTTTTCACAGCCGTTATTGTCACGAACTTTCTGTGAAGGGTAGGAGGAGCTAGAAGCCCAGACTCACATAGTTGCAGGACTGCTTCTTTCTGTAAGTAGAGGGAGGAATAAATGAATGCCCATGGTTTCACTTGGAACAAGAGTGTAAAGCCCTATCATGAAACCGTTTGGCTGGAACAGACTCAATCTTAAAAGTTAGAGTGATGAACTAGAGCAGTGACGGGCTGGGAGACGATGTTTTCCCTCTTAAGGCAGCGTGTCCTGGCACAGCCACCAAGTCTCCTGCCTGCAGAATGGGAATGCGGATGCCCAGCTCCGAGCAGGCAGCGAACACACCACTTGGAACGTGTGTTGCTCTGTGCAGCTTTGCTGGTAACCCGGTTTCCCACCCAGCCTCCTGAAGGAGCTCCCTGTGCGTCTCTTCTGAATCTGCCGTTCTAGGGCATTACCCCATCGTTTTTTCAGTTCTTGATGTCGTTCATGTTCATCCAGATTTTAAAAGTGTGTCTGGATATTTTGATTTAGTGTCCATGACTGAGCTAGTTCAAACTTATTGGAAGCCATGGTTTAAAATTTGAAATACCGATAGCAAGGCATACTGAAGTTTCAAGCCAGGGCCATCAGGCACCCAGCATGGAAGGTTCTCCCTGGTTAGGTTGGGGGCTGAGAAGGCATTGGGAAAGATGTGTAGAGGAAGGCTAGGTCTGGGTTTGCAGTAGAGTGAATGCCAGTTCTTGAACCTATGTTCATGGACCTTCTGCACATCTGTGAAAGTCATTTCTTTACTGACCAGAGTTAGTAATACTACCTTACAGGTGGGAGATAAGGAACACTAGCAGCCACAACTTTAAAAGCTGAAGGACAGAGGCACCCCTCCTACTCTATTGCTATAGTTTGCTGTTTTTCAGAAGGCATAGCAGTCCTGTGTGGAACCATTCTGGAACTGGCTCTCAACCTGGTTTATTCTTCTGGCTTTAGATAGACACGGACACAAATTAGTTTAATTGATAGTGCAACTGCCCTGCTCTAATACCTGATGGCTCTAGGCCGGGGGTTCTCAACCTTCCTAATGCTGCAACCCTTTAACACAGTTCCTCAAGTTGTGGTGAAACACCCCCCCCCCCCCAACCATAAACTTATTTTCATTGCTACTTCATAACTGTAATTTTGCTACTGTTAGAAACAGGCGACCCCAGTGAAAGGGTCATTCGACCCCCAATGGGGTCACAACCCATGGGTTGAGAACGACTGCTTTAGGCTGTTTGGGGGCCAGCATTGAAGCCAATACCTCTTACCTAGGACTGGCTTAGTGCAACAGTGGCCCTGTTTGAGTCCTGTAAGCTTTGTTGTTGTAGGTATTGTCAGGTCAGACCCAACTCATAGTGGCTACACAATAGAACAAACGACCGAGTTGTCCTGCACCATCTTCACAATTGCTGTTTTGCTTAGAGAGAGCCAAATTTGTGCAAGGTGTGTTGCAAATGCAGAAGATAAAGAATAAATATTCCTTCTCCTTCTAAATTTTTATCTTTATGTTTTAAAAGCTTGTAGTAATTGAGGACTAGATGTCTATAGCAATACCTTCTCCAGCAGTGACTATGGCCAGTCACATCCTTGCTTGTAGCTTTATGCACTCTGAAATTAAGTGTCTCAGTGATTAACTGCAGCATTGTTGATGCTCCTCTTTTGCTGAATGACAGATCATATTTTCTAGTTAGAGTAGGAAAATAGGCATCATGGAAATGCAAATATAAGACCATTGCAATGTAACTGTCACTGATTGGTTTATTTGATTATTCTTTGAAATTTATATTCGTAATGACCTTGTTTTTGTTTTGTAAATAGGATCAACCAATGGGAGGCTGGGAGATGATCCGAAAAATAGGAGACACATCGGTCAGTTATAAATATACCTCAAGATATGTGCTGAAGGCAGGCCAGACTGTTACAGTAAGTCGATTTTGTCATTTAATGTAACTTTACTGCCTAAAAGAACATCTAAGGTAACACAGAATATTGGTTTGGTTTGCTTTTGTCCTCGAGAAGCATTTTAGAAACAGCATTTGAAACATCTTTAGCCCAGTTAGGGCATTCTCCAGTTAGAGGAAAGTTCTAGTCTATTGAGGTGTCCGCCTCGGAGTTCTTGTTACTTTGTCTCTTCAAGTAGCTAAAGAGTGGCTACCTGTTGACTGATACTTGTAGCTCAGGGAGTGCAGGTGGACAGCCTGGCATAAAGATTAGGAGATGATCTCTGAATAAATACTAGCACATACATGCCTTGAAATGGGAATGTTCTCCGTTTTTTATATACTTATTTAAAAACAGGAACTTTCCTCCTTGAATTAGCATAAATCCAGCCGGGCTCTGTGAGTCACCATTTCTGGGCCTGGCGTGTTAGTCAGTTTGCTTTGAACAAAAGCCAGCCTCTATATGATGGACACCCGGTAAAGACTCAGTGATTTTAATTTTATATCTATAGAGAGAGTAACTGGATGAATGACTTGGGGGTGTGGCAGGGGTAATTTGGTTGGAAATGGGGAGCTAATAACAATGAGTACAAGAAAGAAGAAAGTGTCCTAAAATTGATTGTGGTGATGATTGCACAATTCTTAACATGCTTGAACGGTTAAATTTTTTTTTTGAACTGTTAAATTTTATGATGGGTGAATTATATGCCAATGAAAGTTTTTAAAAAGGAACCAATTCTATGAAACATGATATTTTAGCAAGACTAATATTTTAATAATATCTCAATGTTATTTTTAGCAAGAGAGTTTTTGCATAGTTTTTAATGTTCTAAATAAGACAGAAATATGTTGTGTGGAATTCTATTTTAGTCCTAAAATGACACTGTTGGCATCCTCTGAAGCACCATAATTTGTTTGTAAATATTTTAGTGAACATTTGGAGAAATCTGCTTCATTGAGCAAATAAAAAAATTCCTTTGCTTTATCGCAGTAAATTTTGAAAATAATAAAATATACTGAATTTGATATAGATTTCAAAGAAGTCACTTTTTATTTCTAAAGAATGTAGAGGTGACTTTATCTCCTAGTTTCTTAGGTTTTTCGTTTGTTTTATTTTAAGAGATCGTTTTAAGTTTTAGAACTGGAAAAATTCTTAGAAGTTCAAGATCAAAGGCAAGCTGTAGGTTAACTTCTTTGAGAAGGTGTGTTCAGAGCTTGATGGCACTTTTAGAAGCTCTCAGGTGCTAACTTTGTAATGGTGTATAAAAATGGGAACAAATATCTTCACTTCACTGTCCTCTAGTAATTATGATGAGGAGAGGAAATAAGCTGAGTGCTATCATGTGTCTGTAGAGTGCAGTAGGAAGAAATCCTGATGTTTTTATTCAGAAGATTCCTGCTTGAGCGGGCTCTTTCTAATGTGAAGCCATTATGCCATTCATCGGCCTTTTCCACTGGATATTCTATAGGTCTAGGGGAAGACTTCATTACCATGTGAAATAACACGATCTACTTTTCTGTAGTAATTAGCATTAAATGTGAAAGCCATTAAGTTCTTCAGAATATGGTAATAAGTGATTTTTCGGTAAAACTGCAAGGCAATGAATGAATGATAACTTTAGAACAGAAATATATGAGTCACATGTAATTAAAATTTTTCTAGCATTCAAATTTTTAAAAAGCAAAATACAAATATGTGAAATTAATTTTAGAACTATAGTTTATTTATTTCTTTCAGCACACCCAGAATATTGTTTGAACATGTTATCACTATAAACAGTTGTTAGGCTAGTTTAGATTGTTTTTAAATCAAGCCTTTGAACTCTGGTTATGTATTATATCCTTCCTCAGAGCCAAACTCGCTGCCATCGAGCTGGTGCCCACCCCAGGTCAGAGTAGAACTGCCTCTGCATTGCTGAGCTGTGCCTCGGTGGGGCAGAAAGCCGCACGCGTCTTCCGCGGAGCAGCTGGTGGTTTCAAACTGTGTGCCTCTTGCTTGATTAGTGATCTATGATGTGCAGCTCACCACACAGTCAGGGCGCCTTTTATCCTTACAGACTGTCTAAAGACTCCACAATTCAAATGCCTAAAATCCACCTAAGGCTAGTGACTACCATATTGAAAAGCACAAGTCTGGAATATACTTGTAAAAATTGTAAAAATGGACTCACTCTCTCACTCACTCTCTCACACTCTCACTCACTCACTCACTGACTCACTCTCACTCACTCACTCTCACACACTCACTCACTCACTCATTCACTCACTCACTCTCTCATTCACTCTCGCACTCACTTACTCTCTCATTCACTCATTCACTCTCTCACTCACTCTCTCACTCACACTCATTCACTGACTCAAAAAACATTGTAAAAATGTAGGCTACTATAAACAGTAAGGTTATTGACATTTTACTAGCGTTATTACTAACATTTAATTAACCAGTAATGATTCCATATAGACCGGTGAAAAGTGTAGCTTAAAATTAGGAAAACATTAACATTCCAAGTGGTACAGAAGATTGATCTGAAAATTGGTCCAGGTGTAGATATTTTTTTCCTATTTCATCCTATTAACTATTACTGCCCCTTGCGTTTGTAAAGCCGATGGCTGACTTGAAGCTACTAGTGAGCATCTACAAAAACAGCACTCCCCCCTCAGCAGTAACTTATAGGTTTCTCCTCATTTGAAAACACACCTACATACACCATCTCTAGCCTGCTTCTTTCTATCACACAGTCCTTTGTACAACAATTTATGGATTATAAAACTTTTTTCTTTTTAAGATGAAGTAATGATTGCATTATTCACCCACGTAAGTAAATTGAGCTCATAAAGGTTTAGTATTTTGTCTAGGATTTAAACTTTATCATCTGACTACCAAATACATCAGCATATTCTCCTATGTGGCAGCATTTTCTTGCTGTTTAGCAGAGCAAAGAACAATTTTAATAAAAATCATATTTTTCCCTTGAGGGGTGCAGATTGATCCATTTCCAGCATTCTTTTTGGAGCCCAATCTTAGACACTGGAGTATTGTGACACTGTCTCTAGTTGGAAATAATACTGTTTTCTCAGAAGCATATTCTAGATAGTCTAGTCACCCTCTCAACTCCCGCTGTAGGCTGCTGCTGGACACAGGTCATAGGGTGGTAAGAAAAGTACATAATTCAAAAGGGTGGTCCCCTAAATTCATAGAACGTGGGATGCAAATAATGAGAATCTATATGAGTAACCAACTTCACGCTTTGTGATCGTGCCACACGTTAAACATATCATTAGTGGTCCTTCTGAAGGATGAGGAAAGTGAACTGACTCCATGGCAGTGATGAGTATGAGAATGTAGTTAGCCTTCCTCTAGAGCCCTGTAGATCTTCACATCTCACATGTCAGATGGTGAAGTGAGGCTTTTAGAATTGAGTTCTACACACAAACTAGTTACAACCGCAACTCTGAAGGTAGGAAAGAGTTGTTGGACTTTGAAAGTCTTATAAGGTGTTCCAGTCTCATCATTGTGCTATTTCCTATTGGCATGTGAGATATCTGGGATTCTCATGTACTGATATATCCTGTCTTTTCCCCAGATCTGGGCTGCAAATGCTGGTGTCCCAGCCAGTCCTCCCACGGACCTCATCTGGAAGAACCAGAACTCCTGGGGCACTGGCGAAGATGTGAAGGTCATATTGAAAAATTCTCAGGGAGAGGTACGGCCGCCTTACCAGTACCACTTCACCCAGAGAGTGTGTCGTGCAAGTGTGATTTCTTTTCAAGAGTCAAATTCCAATATGGAGTAGTTACTTGCTGAGTAAATTAAGCCAAAGCTGTCCTCAAATTTGGGGGATGAAATAAGAGCGTAAGGAAGGAAAGTCACTGATGAGATTAAATGTCTGGTCTCTAGGACTTGTTCAGTTCATTAAATACTTAACCTTGTGGACTAGTTTTCAGAACCTTCCTGAAACTCATGTATCAAATGTTGTGTATGTCTTCAACATGTCCGTCCTAGGATTCTCGTCCAAAGAAGCATACCCCTCCCACTGCCAGGTAGACATATCACACCCCACCTACCAGTGTTAGTCTTAGAAACACTGCTATTCCTAATGATGGAAGTGGAGTCTGCTGTAGCACTTGTACAATATGCTCTCATCTCGTCTCTTTCCCCAACCTAATTACCGAATGCAGACCATATAAAATATCACTGAACCCCTTTGTAGAATGTGGGGGTTTGTCTTTGCAAGAAGCATGTTAAAGGGCACTTGGATGAGTTTAGAATGGGTTTCTTTTTTTTTTTCTTTTCTTCAAGACAAAATTTCATTTGTCATTAGAAATAAATATTTCACCATCTATAATTAACATATTGTTTTTGTGATTATCACTATGCTTGAATTATGTTCAATTTAGAATGGGTTTCTTTTGGTCATCACACTGTTTCTTCATTCTTCTTTGCCTCAAGAGCTTTAAGTTTTGGCTTGCAAGGATTTCACAGCTATAAACCTTCATCTGACAGGCTCTGCTGCTTCACATTTATATAAGTACAGAGCCTTTTATTTCTTTGGAAAATGGCAGGTGTCTGCTGTGCCTTGACCACTTTATACTTGAAGTGTGGACCTGCTTTCAGAGTTCATGGGCCTTAGATGCTGGCAGGGGGGTTGCTGCGGTCAGGTGCTCTCAAATCAATTCAGACTCAGTAACCCCGTGTACAACAGAATGAGACTCTGCTTGGCCCTGTACCGTGCTCACACTGGTTGTTATGCGCGACCCATTGTTGAAACCCCTGTGTCCATCCACCTCATCCAAGGTCTTCATTTTCTCTGACCTTCCGCTTGCAGGGACTG